ATTTTTTTATCTGTGTCCTCTCTAGATTTATTAATCATGTCTTGCACCATGAGCACAATCTTTGCTGTTATCTGAGTAATTACTTCTGATTTCATTTTTCCCAGATCCTCTTTTGTTGCCAGTTCAGAGAGTCCAGGTGGTTGAATATCAGAGTGTTCCATCTTGTTTCCCTTTGGGGTTCCTGTAGGTGATCTGGAAGTCTGTTTTTGAAGCTTGTTTACGTGCCTTCTCATTTCCATGCGGGGGGTGGGGTGGGGGGTGGGGGTGCTCCTGGCGCCCACGAGGCTCACCTTCACTGCCCTAGGAACCTGGGATGGAGGTGGGGAGCTTCCTTCCGGGTGCTGGGACCGGCTGAGCTTCACTGCCCTAGGAGCCTGAACATGACAACTTTGAGAGTCCTAATAGACAACTAAATGAAAACTCTAATAAGAAATAAGGGAAAGTGCTGGGCTAAATAAATGTACACTTAGAAGTCATCAGAATATAATTGGCAGTTTTTAAAGCCCTGAAACTCAATACAAACTTTTTTTTTTTTTCCTTTTGTGGTACTGGGTATTGAACTCAGGACCTTCCGCTTGCAAGGCAGGAGCAGTTCCACCGAGCTAAATCCCCAGCCCTCAGTACAAACTCTTGAGTGTAGATATAGAAGAAAAAGAAGTCATGGAACTGAGTCCTGCAATGACTAAGGATGTGGGAAAGGAGGAGGAATAGTAGAAGACACTGGGAGTGGCCATTCAGGTGACTGACCACTAAGAAAAGAAAGCATTTCCAGAAGGAAGACGCATAAGATGCAGCCCACAGGTGGCGTGAGGCGCAAACTGAATTAACTGTGGCACTAGAAACATGCAGGTCAGTCACGGAGTCCTTGACTGAGCCATTGGGTGTAGTGAGGCAGATGAAAGCCTGTATGGCATGGGCTTGGGAGTTGGAGACTGCCAGAAAAGCCAGGTTTTTCAAGGAGTTTTGCTGCAAGCAGAGTAATGGGGCAGAGGGGCTTTGAAGGTTAAAAAAAGGTTGTATTTTTTAAGATGGGAGAAATTATAATATGTTTACTGGTTAGTAGAGAGACAATAATGACATTTTTAGACTTCAGGACCCGTGTGATTCTAAATGTCAAATACTGCCAAGTCACTTTTTGTGTAGCAAGTAGACACTGCTGTCTGCTCCATCCCTCTGGGCAGTCATGTGGCCTTTAGGTGAAAGTATTTATGTCTAGTCAATTAGATTAGGTTTAATTCTGATAGTAAGAAAGTTTTGTTTCCTGGAAATGTCAACTAGTAGAAAAACACTTCATCTCTCAAGATTTTTTTTTTTTCTCTTTTGGTGCAGGGGACACATATTTTTGATATTAAGAGGTTAGAAGGAGCCAGGTACCATGGTGCTTGCCTATAGTTCCAGCTACTCAAGAGGCTGAGGCAGGAAGATTGCAAGTTTGAGGCCATCCTGGGTAACTTAGTGTGAGATTTGTCTCAGAATAAGTGGTAATTTTTTTCTTTAAAAGGGCAGGGGCTATAGCTCAGTGGTAGAGCACTTGCCTAGCATATATGACGTCCTGACTTGGATTCAGTTCTTAGTACTGTAGGGGGAAAAAAAGGAGATTAGAGGCCAAGACCATTGTAGAAAATTGAGGAAGAACATGGTCTTACTAAATATCACCAGAACACTTATGAATTCTTCAATGATGGTAGGAATCTAGTTGAGTATTAAATCTGAAAACAGGAACACAGTACAGTTTAGGTTAGATGGTTCATCTTGGTTATCTAACTTACAGTACAAATGAATTTACTTATATAGGTTATTGTAAATATTATTGTTCTTTCTCTTGAAGATATGAGTTGTTTCCATATTTTTATTTAAGTTAATGTGAGGAGGAACCTGAAAATGTGTTATATATTTGAATAGAATTAGAAATGTAAACATGCTAATTTTTTTGTTTTCCAACACAGATTAAGAATTTCTTGTCAAAACGGGTGCTGATAATGTATTTTTTCAGTAAGGTAAGAATATGAAGCTAGAGCCTTCAGAATGAGGGGAGAGAAAGTGAAACATGAGGTGAAGTAGCAGAGAGGGTCTGCTTTGTGAATACTTTATAGATTAATCCCAACAAACCCTACATCTTTGCATAGCACTTCACTAAACCTCAGTGTGGACAGTCGTTGCCTCCCATCTCTCCATGGTGACTCCCTGAGACTCTTGGCTACTGGCAGCTTTGTACTGATTTTAAACATCAGCTCCTTTGTGCTGCATCAGTGTTTGGAGAGTGAGTGGCCCATAGTTTTCTGATGCTTCATGGGTCATTTTCCTGCTAACATCTTTGTGGCCAATTGCTGTTCATAAAAGAGATGACTGAGTTAGATGACAGACATTAGATATGTGGTAGGTAGAAAGTTGTATTTCAGATCACAAACGAAAGGACTTTCTGTCTTGTCTACCAGCTCTTCTAGCTGCCATAGGAGAGTGTCTCAACTCTAGAAGCTAGAGATTGTTTTGTTTTCACTTGAGTATATCTGTCGTGTGTTAATTAATCCTTCGATGAAGAAAACCTTTGCCTGTGTGTGGGGGGAAAGAATTTTTATTTTTTGTTTTTTAAATCTTTCTACAGATATTGTAATAGCAAATGGACTAATATTGTGCTCATTTGATTAATGCATTCAGGTGAAAATTTATATTGACATTTATTCTTCATTTTTATTCTTCAGGGATCATACACTGGTGGGGAAAGAGATCTGAGTAGCCCTCATAGAATATAGATACACATACCAGTTATTTCATGTTCTTGAAGCTGCTTTTTCATTACAGTGGAAGTGGAGCTCTACCCAACTAGTTACTTTTACCAAAAAGTAATCTGGCTTGCGGTGTCCATTACCAGGAGGTATTTTGTCTTTCACCAAGAGCGTGAGGGGTGTCTGAAGTTTTACTTACGTGTTTGGCTTCAGAAGAAGAAGAAGAAAACTTACCTTGAGTGTTTTACATGTGTGCCATGCTCTGTCACTTAATTTCTTTACTTAATTCTAATAGCATTCCTGTGAGATGTGCTTTCTGGTCCCCATTTTACAGATCAGAGAGCCTGAGATTCAAGAGGGGATCAAGTAGCCTAAGGCACATAGCCAGTGGAGTTACAGAGGGGATGTTGACCAAAATCTCCTTTTCCCTTGGGAACAAATGGCTACTTTTGATTCTAATTTTGTACATGGAACTGTGGTAGCATGAAGAGTTGAGACATTGTAATTTGATGTTGAGAAATGTAACTTTTTAATAGGCTTTATCAGGTACATAAACAAAGCCAGCATTTACTAAATGGGCTAGTTGTTACTCCACCCTACCTGACCAGTGGTATATTAAAGAAGATTGGGTAGTTTTTCTTTGGAGTGGGGTTGAGAATAGACAATTTAAGATAGATAATATTGCCACTCATGATGGTGGATTCCTATAATTCCAGCACTTGGAAGGCTGAGGCAGGACTATTGCTGCAAGTTCAAGGCCAGTCTGGGCTACACAGTTCAAAGCAAGCTTAAGCCTACATAGTGAGGCCCCATCTTAAAAAAAGAGAATATTTAAGCAGTTCTCTTACTGTAAAAGAAGCTTTTTAACCATTCTGTTATGTGGTCTCTGTACTAATCTTCTGAGTTGGGTTGAGCACTTACAGTTCTTGTTCTAAATGAGAAAGGCATGTACAGATTTAGAGACTTGGAGTCACACATTAAGTTAATGGCAGAATGGTTTATTGTAGTTAAATCATATTGTGTAAGATTGTATGTCAGATCTAAATTCTTTTTTTTTTTTTTTTTGGTACCAGAGATCGAACTCCGGTCCTTGCACTTGCGAGGCAGGTGACGGAACCACTGAGCTAAATCCCCAGCCCTAGATCTAAATTCTTGAAAAGCACCTGTGATTTTTGTTGTTGTTGTTATTGTTATAGTCTGTATATTAATACAGTATTAGTTTTTGCCCAAGGGAATTTATTTAGTGTTTTTTTAATTTCTAGCATCCCGAGGCCTCCATTCAGGCAGTTTTTTCAGATGCCCAAATGCATATTTGGGCGTTAGAAGGTGAGCAATCTGAATTGTAACTATGAATTAATTAAGTTAAATATTGAAGAATAATACATGAATGGTCAGTTCTGGACTCTGATCTCAATCTTTACATTTTTACATATATTTTTATATCTTTGTTTTTATAGAGATCACTTTTCTTAGCCATTTCAGTGGTTATTTTGCTTTATTTTGATTTATTTGTTTGAGGTGCTGGGGATTGGTCCCAGCACCTCAAAAGTAGTAGACAAGCACTCTACTACTGAGTGACACTCCTGCTCCTGTGTGTATTTTTTTTTTTTGGTACCGGGGATCGAACTCGGGTCTTTGTGCTTACACAGCAGGTGGCGAAACCATTGAGCTAAATCCCCAGTTCCCCCAGTTTGTATTTTGATTTGGGCAAAATATTTCTTGTACGTAAGCAGAGGAATTGAGCCTGAGATTCATCCTTATGTTTCTGTACTTCAAAATATGCAGCTAATAAATTGCTTTTAAATTTTCCTTAATTTGCATTATATATGAAAACTTAGTTGTTAAAGAGCTATTTCTTTTTACCATGTAGATAGTACTTTCTCAGTGCTTAAATAACACTTGAAAGAAGAGTTACTACCATTCTGTGATAAGTGTCCTCCTAAGAGCTGTCCCAGTATGCTTTGTTTTTCTTCCTAGCATCCATCATAACTTGGTATTAAATTTTTTTCCCTATTAGAATTAGAGTTTTTGTCATCTTTATGAATGACTAAAGCAGTTAACTACCTTTTAAGTGCTTATTCCTGTCTTTCACCATTTTATATTATACTCTCCCCTCTTAATAGTTGTTTTTATATTTAGAATATTAATCTTGGATAGATGAATTACATATAGATTTGCCTACTTTTGATTAACTTTTAACTTTTTTCTTTTCCCCTTAGGTCTGTCTCATTTAGTAGCAGCATCATTTACAGAAGATAGGTTTGGAGTTGTTCAGACTACACTACCAGCTATCCTTAATACTTTGTTGACACTGCAAGAGGTATGTAATCACTGTGTTGAACATGGGTATGGTTATCCCGTTACTCCCCAGTCATCTGTCTGTCTGTCTGTCTCTCTCTCTCTCTTTCTTTTTTTGAGACAGGGTCTCACTATGTAGTTCAGGCTGGCCTTAAACTCACTATGTATCCTACACTTACTTCAACTCATGGCAGTCCTCCTGCCTCAGCTTCCCAAGTGCTGGGATTACAAGCGTGTGCCACCATGACTGGCCCTTTTTATTTCTTATATATCTTCTTTATTGATTAACCAAACATGTTGTAAATTAAGGTAATGATACTGTTCTGACCCAGAAAATTATAGTTTTAGAAAATGGGAAGAGAGGGCCAGGGATTTAGCTCAGTGATTCTGGCGCCTGCCTTGAAAGTGCAAGGTCCTGAGTTCAATCCCCAGTACCAAAAAAAAAAGAAAAAATAGGAAGAGAAAAGTTTTAATCTGCTTATAAAAGGTTTGTAGGGGGCTGGGGATTTAGCTCAATGGCATAGTGCCTGCTTGGCAAGCGTGAGGTCCTGAGTTCAATCCCCAGTACCAAAAAAAAAGTTTGTAGAAAAAGAAAGTATTCTAAACCCTGGTATTAAACAGGTAAGTTAGGATATTGGAATTCTGTTCAGTGACATAGGTTTGGATCCTTACAAAATTTGTAGCTAGTGCAGGTGGTCTGTAGTTAAATCTCCCAGTGAGCTAAGTTGTCTTGGAAAAAAAAAAAAAAAAGAAAGAAAAAGAAATAAATTGTCTTGGCCAGAGGATAAAGAGATGAAGTCAGTGAATATCCTTTCTCTGGCTGAATCTTAGTTTTAACTGCAAGTCTTTTTAGTCCTGGACTCACAGATAGGCAAAAGAATAAACCTGTGCTTCCAGGTTTCTGGTAGGCTTCCTTTCCTAACTTTATTTTGGATAATACATTTTATACCACATTATACTAGTTGTGTCACATGACAGGTATGAACATTTATGCTTGAAACATTGAGACATAGAGGTTGAAGAGCACAATTTGCTTTCTGTAGGAGATGTTGTTGAATTAGCTTGAAGAATACCACTCGGAGCATGTTTGGGCCTTAGGAAGGTGTTTAAGATATGAGGAAAAACATGCTCTATACTTCTTTTCTTCAAAACAGTTCTTTTATACCTCTTAGAAAATCTTACTTATCAAAACCAGTAATTTTTTTTTGGCTTCCCGTATTGTTTTTGCTTACTTTCACATCATGTATGTTACTTGAGACACATATGTCCACATGTGTAGTTTTATTATTATTATTTTCTTTCCAGTATTAGGACTTGAACTCAGGACCTTGTGCTTGCCAGACAGGTGTGGTACCACTGAGCTACATCCCTGGCCCATTAATTTTATTATTTGTACTTTTTCTGGGCGACCTTTCTCCAAAGAAACTGTCAAGTGTTTCTCTTAATGTTTGGCTTATCTAGCTGTACAACAAGGCAGCCATAACTTGGGTGTGACTTGGGTCTTCATAAGGAGATCCTCATTAGTCTTGTGAAGTAAGCAAAGTGGAGATAATTTAGTCCTACTCTACTGATGAAGGAGAGTGTGTAGTTCAGTGATTTACCTCAAGTCTTAAGTCTCATGGGTGGCAGACTGGGAATTACACCTTGTCTGATCATAGGGCATTAACAGTGTAGTAGGCCTTAGGAAAAGCTGCAGATCCCCTTTCCTTGCTCTTCCTGAGCTTGTCTTCCATCTTATCCTGTGATGTCCTCTACCCATCCCCACCCCTAACACTTGCATAGGATTCTTTCTTGGGAAAGAATGATTCTTGGAATTTTTTGGATCAGCGGGGAGGGGGGGTGTCTAATCTCAGCATTTGGGAGGATCCCAAATTCAGGTATCCCCTTAGTGACACCCTGTCTCAAAATTAAAAATAAAAAGGACTAGGAATATAGCTCAGTGGTAGAGTACCCTTGGGTTTGATCCCATTTGAGGTGGGGGCAGGTCTTGTTGAAACTCACTGAATTGATTTCACAAAGATCATACTGCCTTAGAAATATTCTTCACCAAAATGACTGTTCTTATGTCTCCCAGTGTCAAAACTCTAATTCTTCATAGTTGGCTGGAAGAAAAACAGTCTATTTGATGGTTTTCATTCCTACCCTTGGGTAAGAAGGCAATAATTACATATTTGTTAAAAAGTCAGGCCTCACCAGGCATGGTGGCACATGCCTGTAATTCTAGTACTCTGGGAGGCTGAGGGAGCAGGATTACAAGTTATAACCCAGCCTGGGGAGCTTGACAACTTAGCAAGACTCTATCTCAAAATAAAAAGAGATGAGGGTGTAGCTCAGTGTAAAGGCTGTAGGTTCAATCCCCAGTACTGTTTAAAAAAAAAAAAAAAAGTTCAGACCTTATTTACTTTGAAACAGAGGAGTTGGGATGGAGAATACTTTTGAAGGGGTCACAGGATCAAAGAAGTGAGCTAGTACTTAACTTCTGAGTATTAAAGTCCCTACTTGCATAAGACTTGTGATGTCTGTTTTTCCTGTCCTACATCATAGTTGCCCTTTCTTCATACTCCACAGTCATAAGCTTGTGCAAACCGCCTCCAAGTCTTTCTTCTGTCCCCACATTCTGAGGTTGATTGTAATGAGCAATTCAGGATTTACCTGGATGGCGCATTCCACACCGTGGCTGCACGCTTGTTTGACTTTTCCTTGTCGCTACATATTTGTATACCCTCCACCCACCACTATTACCTCTGTATCAGTTGAACACTATCTCTGAAGCTTGCAACTTCAGGAGTCTACCCTCTAAGTCACAGTCCTTAAGTGGTTTTCTAGTAAAGATCTGGGAGTCTGGTGACAGCACACTCCCATATAGAGGACCCCAAAGTATGTTCTAGGAGGAGGAGGAGGAACAGGCATCACGTAGAGTCAGTTACACTAAGAAAATAAGGTATACTGGAGAGTGCTGGGGGACTAACAGTCCATGGGGTGTTGGAGCAGAGGGCTCATAGGAAGGACAGCAGAGCATGAAGGATCATCAGTTCAGTGAGGGCAAAGGTTGCAGTAATAACTCAGGACAGGAATGCCAAGAGCCTAAAATAAAGCCAGGGTAGGAAGGATGAATAAAAGAATGGACTGGGTTAGGGTGGATATAGGGAGAGTCTTGCCATATGGGCACGGCTGTACACCATGAAGACAAGGGAGTTAACAGAATTAGCAAAGCTGTTGAAATGACAGATTAGAAGGTCTACTCTGCAAAGGGAAGACATTAGCCAGGAGAGAACTTAAAGACAAAGAACATGGGGAAAAGAACAGAAACAATTGGTAAGATACAAGAAATTGTACAGGAGCAGCAAGGGCATGAGTGGACTGGGCTAGCTGCAAGGGCCGTCACACTGGGCCCACAAATCTTGGGGTAAAAATCAGGGGGTATGGAATAAAAATTACATGTTTATCTTCATTAACCTCTAAATTAAAGTTCAGCATGTTTTATTCATGAATGTAAGTAATAATCATAGTAGGTAACATTAGCAGTTTCTTTGACTTCATGACCAATAGAGATCACCAATATTTTCATATCACTTTATTATCATTACACTTACCTTCAATTACCATTCATCTTTTTACTACTTCAAAATGATGAGTTATTAGACTGACTGACCTTGCTGTTTAATGCAATAATTTAAAAGCACATACTCTATCACAAATTAACTGACTGACTGATTATAGTATTGGTGACTGAACCCAGGGCCTTTGCACTGAGCTACATCTCTGGCCCTTTTTAAATTTTTTATTTTGAGACAGAATCTCACTAAGTCACTGAGCTGTCCAGGCTAGGCTGGGCTGGGCTTGACCTTGCAATCTTCCAGCCCTAGCCTCCCGGAATGCTGGGATTATAGATGTGCACCACCACACCCAGATACAAATTTAACATCTTGATAATTACATGTCAGTATGATTGATTTCTATTCTAATCCTAAATACTTATGTGTATTCAAGAACATTATTCTGAGAAAGACTCCATAGGTAATCCCCATCTGAACTCTGTATCATCTTAACTGACTGTCACTGTCTTCCCTATTAGTCAGAATAGAGGCATGGACTTTCTCATTTCTCTATTCCCAGCATCTCATGGGGTACCTAGGAAGGGACAGGTAATTATGATTATTATTTTTTAATATTATTTTATTGGTACATTTTAGGTATACAATATAATTACATTCATCATTGGAAATTTGCACCTTTACATAATCTCTCTTGCTTCTTATTTTTCCCCCTTCCCCTGGCCCCACATAAAACAACACCATCCCTCCCCTTACAAAAACTTTGTTTCCACTTTTTCTTACTCATATTAATTCCATTCCCTTCTTTCCTTTCCCCTACTCCTCCCATTTCCCCCTCCCCTTTGCCCCTTTTCTTCCTTTTTCACATTATCTGTTAAACCTTTTAGTCCTTATTTACACTTTCAGTTTCTCACACTAGAGAAACTATTTGGTATTTACACATGTGAGGGGACAGGTAATTATTAAGTGCTTGTTAGGTGGCTGCTGGATGGCTTTAGTGCTGGTTAACTGAGTGAAGGCTTCTGTTCTGGAAACTGAATTGAGTGGCAGTTCTGATGAGGTGAGTTGATTACAATGATCCCAAACTGCCTTTTACTTGAGAGGCAGGGTTGTGGTTGTGGTGTTATTTTTAGGGGTCCTGTTATGTGTTTTTGGCTTTATGTTCTTTGATCTAGCAGAGATACTTACGTTTAGCAAAGAGAATAAATTCTAAGTGTCTCTGTAATTTAAGGTAAGTTGTACAATACCAACTGCTGGTTGTTACCAAGGAACAATTGTATGGAATTGTTCTGTTCTTTTGTTTTACTTCTCAGTATCAATAACGTTGGCCATTTCCCTGTGAATCATTAAAGGCAGAATGTGAAAGGAAAGGGGAGCCTTTCACTCTTCAGACCGTTCAGAGGGCAAGGAACAGGGCAGCGGGTACCTAGAGCAGTGGGCCCTCCCAGCTGGGAGGTCACAGTCGTTA